AAAAATTCTAAAGTATATAAATCTCTGATAAAGTTCTCAGATATATTTGTAGTAGATCAGGTGTATTTTTCAGGTGTATCAGGTGTGTGAGTACGAGCTGGACATTTACCAGAACTCGGCCTCGATTTTAATCACTTCTTTCCAAAAATTTTTTATAAAATTTTGAACATTTTAAATATTCAATATTCATTGAAAAACGTTTAAGTTGCTGAGAGACCAATAAACGAAAAGCATATTCATTTTCAATACTTCGATTAATTAAACGACAACATTCATCAAATCTTTGAGCCCCTTCAATTACACCTAATCTTCGTTGATTATATCGAAGTAAAATTTTTGTAAATTTAACAGATTCGTTATAAAGTACTTCTTTTCCTTTGGGAGACAAGCCTTTCGCATCTTTTTGAAATATTTAAAGTTAATTTTAATTAAATTAAAAAAAGTGTATCTGAGACAAAATAATTCTGACAAAACTACTCGCGAATTTTATGATTTTTTCAAGTCAACCATCGACCAGCTAAAAGAAAAATTGGAGAGCCCAAATTTAAATTATAAGCTTGCAAGCAATTTTTAGCTAGCTTTTACAAATTAAACTTTTACCCGATTTTGTAAGGATAATAGCTACTAATAAAGCATATTCAATTTTTGTTAAAGCAAATCGTTTGAAGTGAACAACAGATTTTGTATATACATAATCTGATAATTTAATCATTCTAAAAATTTAAAAAAAGTGTTTCGAATTTTTAGAACAATTTATTTACTTATCGTCATATACAGAATGATTCATAATAGCAAGAGCTGGCATAAGACAATCTTTACGTGTCCAAGTTTCAAAGCCTAATTCCCAAGCTATGTAGGTGCTTGTAAATGAAGTAAACAAATTACAAATCTGTCTTAGATGTGCAATCTATTTATAAAAAGAAAATTAAATTTTAGATTGATCGAGTTTTTCTTATTAAAGTTGGACACTGAAATCTCGGGGACGCTTGTGTCAGTGTTTTGGGTTTTTGAAATATTTCGGGCGGGGAACTGAAAAAATCGTTCGGGTAGGTATGGGGTCGGGGTCGGATCGATTTGTCTTAAATTCCGTCTTAGTACACCCGTTATAACAGGAAATTAGCAAAACTGATTCTAAGAGTTTAAGTAGGAGCAATTTAATACATTATTATAAGAGAGGATGGGATTAACGCAGAACTCTGTGCCAAAATTATTATGCTCCTTCATGTATGTAGATTATATATACCTGATCAGATAAAGTCAATTTTTCAAAAACAGGCATAGATTTAGCTATGCCAAAGCACAGAAGTCTGTCAACAAACATCCATTTTTGACTTCTACTATTAAATACACCTTCATTTTGATATGAAGATTCCCAACTTTTTAATTCATCAAAAGGTATTGGACTTGGATTTGGCTTTAAAATTAAAATTTTTTCAAAATTAATGAAAAAATTTACCGAAAATGTGTCAGTTAAACGAAAAATATTAAAATTAGATAAAATTATTTCTTCAAACAAAATCGGGCCTTTAAGAAATATATCATCCAAATCAGCAAATCCATGCATTATACGTTTTTTGGCTTCAATAATTGGTAAAATCGAGTCTATCAGTTTTTCGTCGTTGATGGTTATGTCGACAGTTGGGGAATTTAGTAACTTAAAATAACGAGAATTTTAATTTATAATTTATTATTATGTTTTGTTTTTGTTCCTTTGAGTATTCAACTTATTGTAAGGGGTATGGAAAATTTTGAAATTAGTTCATACATCTTCGTAGATTTTATGTTGTTAAAGATATTTCGATGCTTTTCTTTCGTTTTTCACAATTAGAACTTTTCAATATTCGATTTACAAAGTATTTTTATCAACCCTAGTTTACACTAAAAGTGTCTTCCAATTCATGTATAAAATAAATAAATTCACTTTAATTTCATTTTTCTGTTCTTCCATCGCTTCCCGGCTTATATCATCATGACGTAAATATCCAGCATCTAAAATTATTTTAAACATTGAATACAGTATTTCACATCCCTTGTTTCTACCTCAGTTATATCCCCATGATGAATACAAAAGGATTAGATTAACAGAGTAATGGAGATTTGCAGTGTTAACGGGGGATTTTGAAATTAACACTGACTAGGTCATTAATTTATCGGTAATTTGGACTGATGCAGTGGATATAAGAGATTGGTTAACGGAAACCGATAATCCGATCAGCTGAGGCTTCGAGAGGCTGAGGTTTTTTACTCTTATTTTGACAAACCCAATTTTTTCATTCCAACAGAAAAACATTTTTCAAGTCTACATTTTTTACATTTTGCCAAATCTTGTTCGGATTTTACGTCTGTATTTTCTTCTGAACATGTACATAAATTATATTTCCATTGATTTTTGTTATCAAGATAGCGCCTTTTGAAAAGTAATTTTGGAAAAATTCCGTCATATCTCCCATACACTGATTTGGACAAACAATAATTTGCCCAAATCTGGCAAACAATAGAATTTTGGCAAATAATAGAAACCGAACCGAACCGAAGCATAGCATAAGGAGTGAAAAGAGATTCGTGAGTTTCACTTTTCGGCATTTTGTTTCTCCAACCCCAATACAAATCAAATTCTAGATCCGAAGCCGAAGAAGGATATTGTCATGTAATTAGTTCATGACAACAGGACATAATTAGTTCAGCAGGCGAATTTTGTGAGTTTCGGAAAGCCACTAGTAAGATTTCTTCCAGTTCTTCTCACGATTCCCATCTTTTGCTCATTTCTCATTTTTATCCCATCATTAGTGGTGGATCTTAGGAACTGGTGCCGAAACCGGTTCCAGACCTTTGCCGGTTTACAATTTCAGTTACGGAACTAGAATATGGGATTTTTGACGCAATTTGACCAATTTTTTTTTAAATTAAACAAAATAAAAATTACCTGAAAAAAGCCCCACAAGCCCTACAAGTACAAACTCCATAATGAAAATAAACATTTTCTTTTGACCCACAAATTTTGCATTTTTTTATAAAATTTCCTTGCATTTTTAAAATTAATTGGTATTTTTCTATTAAAATAAAGTAGATAAATGCTTATTATCAGGCTTTTAAGGATATTTTTATAAAAATTGAAATAAACGGGTTAATTAAAACAGAAATTTTTTTTCTGGCAAAAATAATTTTTATTTTATTTAACTTAACAAAAAAAGAAACACGGCTCCATTAGCTTTTGAAATAATTAATATTACATGAATAAGTATTATAATTATTCATATTTTATTAAATATAAAAAAATTTTTTTGGTAAGATTGTTAGTATACTAAAATTTAAAAAATCATTTGAATAATTTAGGTGTATAGGAACGTATTTAAGATACGTTTTGGCTCGTAAAATTATCAGCTGAATAAACAAATAAATTTTCTAAACAAAAATTGAATAGCAGAAAGTTAACTTGAATGAATGGATTTAATCAATTTATCTAAACTCAAAACTTCTCTCTCATCTTTCTGTGAATGAATATTTTATTTTTAAATAAAATTTTATTTAAAAACTCCAATTTATTCAAAACAGCTAATTAAACACACAAAAATTTAAATGAAAAAGAAATGCCTCAATATACCTCCACATCCCACGTAATCACCTTAGATGTATTCGAACGTGTTTAATTTTAATTTGTCAGCTAAATAAACAAATATTTATACACAAATTTAAAGGGATATTATGATGAATATTCTCGCGTTAGTTGAAGGAGAATTGGGCGAGGATAATTATCTGAGATAGAAAGAAAGAGAGTAAGAGATTATTTGAGCTTATAACGTTCGAAAACTAGAAAAGGAAAAAATTTAAATATTATGTTGACTGATTTAATTCCATGAAGAAATAGTGTGAAGTTGAGGAAGGCAGTTAACATTTTGAAAAAAATGGAGTTGTAGTAGAAATTGAATATTAGCTAAAATTTATTTAAAACTGCTAATTAAAAACATAAAAATACCCAAATTAAACAAAATTACTTCTATTATCGCTAATTTTAAAGAGTTTTGTAAAATTGCTTTGTCGTTGAAGCTTTTTTAGAACGAACGGCGACTTACTGGTATAAACATTAAGCATCCTTCCTACCGTACATTAAAAACATCAGGTACCAAATATGTTCTTGCAGCACATTTACATTATTTCCGGTTATTCCCATTATTTCCGGCTATTATTTCCGGTTATCACTTTATGTTTTCGGCACCAGTTTTAAAATAATTCATCCGATATGCTTGGAAACTTTCAGGATTTCTTGGATTAGTAGATATTCCTACCTACAAAACACATTCCCAATTATTGTTTCAGAAACATGAATATATATTTAAATTGTAACTGTGGTAAGACCCCATATATCCGTTGGCCATGGTGTGCAATTAATTTAGCATAAACGTCTTGTTTTTAACCGATTAATTGCTAGGGCTTCCACTTTTTTGCCAAATCCACATATTGGTTATTATGGAAATTTTGGCGTTTCTGGCAGAATAATAATTCAAAATGTTCGGCAACTTCAAATGCTTTAGAATAGTCTTCAGGTCTATAGGCTTTCACTTTGAATTGAAGGTCTGGCAAAAGCTCAAATAACACTTATTTGGCACGGTACAATGCTCCTACATTGGCACCACTACTTTTTCATTGTACATATAAAATTTTAATTGAACACTTAAACTGCTTAAACTTATGATTGGTCTCAAAAACTTTATGGGACTAATAAACCTTTAATGGACTGAAAACCTTCATTGGCTACAGAACTGGACCAGGGCCATAAATTTAATAAGGCACGAACATAATAAATCTAATTTCTATCAATAAAAAATATTTTTAAATAATCATTTATTCAGCTTTATTATAAAAAATTAAAATCAAAATGACGGGAATAAACTTTCTATTTCACTTTTACTCCCTTTCTCATATTAAATTCTTTACAAATATAAAAAGATGCATTATTACTTGTTAGGATTTTTTTCATATTTAAAAAATTCGACGCAACAATCCTAAACTCTTTCTGTTGTATGTCCATCGCCATCCAAATAAAACTCATAGCTTCCATCAGTAAACATTGGAACAATGTCGGCAACAAATTCGGGTAGAATATATTTGCCAAAAAACTCATAATTATAAACATTCATTTTACCATCTTCAATATTATCTATTTTTGTTTTTAATATTTTAATTTTTATGTATTGTCTTAAACTTTTAAAAAATTCTTTATCTAAATCACACATTTTCTTGAATATTTTTAACACACATCTATCTTCATTTGCTCCTTTAATTTGAACGTAGAATTGATATTTGTCCGAAACAATTATAAAATAATTTCCTGCATTTTCAAATTTTAAACAAATTGCAATGTAAGGATATTCCATTTCCTTTTCGATTTTTTGAGAATTTAATGAAGTTGACTCGATTAAATTAACTTTGGTAAAGTTTGGTTTTTTACGAATTTTTCTAAATCCTTTCGGATTTAAAAAACATATTAATCTTGTCAGCTGTTCAGCTTTTCTATGTAAAATTGTCTTTACCCCATTTATAAATATATACTTTCTATGCACAATAACACCACTTGGAATACTATCAATTGACATTTGATTTAGTCCCAAATCTATATGTGCTTTAAACATTGGTTCCAAAATCATTAATAACTAAAAATTGAAACATGTCTGTCATTTCAGAACAAAAATTGAAACACTTATCAACAATTAATCAAAAGTAACGTTAATAAATAACTTTTTACAGTCGTGATTTAGTTGTTAACACACGCGACTTGCACTTAATGTGTGATTCAGTTTTTATTTTACGGCGTCAGGATAAAAAGGGTCGTTCCGTTTTAAATGATCGTCACGGCTAAAAGGATCTAGGGATTTTATAGAGATCGTTTTTAAAAGATGGAAAAGGCCAGTTCAGTGCCGCCATTATGATTTGCAAAAAGAGTAAAAATAGTTCGCAAAAATTCCGAAGGGATAACGGAAAAGTACGTTTATTTGTGCCGAGCTTTATCCTCAACTAGTACTTAAAAGCCCATAATAGCTTGGATATATTGTAGTGTACTGGTGGTAAAAGCTCTTGACGTGACCTATGTCATTCGATTCGCCATGAGCCGCTCTTCCTAGTTTTAGCATCTTCGAATTTTTCACCCCAAAATCGAGCAATCCCTATGGTTTACCAATATTTTGGGACCTATATCACGGTCATGAATTATTTGCTGAAGTAGGTAGCTGTACCGTTCGACACAGCTAGTCGAGGCGAATCGAATGACATATGTCGCGTCCTGAATTTTTACCAGAAATAGACTACACTACAGCCATAGCCTTTTACAAATTTCTTAAATTTAACGTCCATTAGGAGTAGAAACAATAAAATAATTTATAAATTAAAACCTCTCCATTAATACTGAATATGTTTTTCTTCAATTCCAAACAAATGTTTATTCCCCAAATGTTAGAAAGTTTTAAGAAAGTTTTAATTTTTATTAATTTGTTTTCATTTTCATCAGTATTATTATTTATTTCAACGGTTGTGGATATATATCCAGATAAATAACAATTGTTTGGAAGTACGGATGTATAAATAATATTGTTTTGATTTTTTTCATTAACTTGGAGTAAAATTTCCATTTTACTTTTTCCACTTTCATCATCCGTTTCTGACAATTCCATTCTCAATAATTTTATTTTAAAACTTCCATCCTCATTTTTGTTATTTTCTGTAGATTTAACCAAAATTCGTTGATTATTTTCATAATTACAAGAACAAAAAGAAAATATTAAAAATAATATTTGACAAAAAAATAAATATTTAATAAAAAACATTTAAAAAAATTATTTTTAAATAAATTTATATTTTTTAAATAATTAAAAAAAATTAAATGAATTTTTATTTAATTAATTCAAATTTAAATAACGTATTAAATGATGAAATAAAAATTATTACATAATAGTCTATCTTATTTAAATGTACTTAATCATTAGTTTATTTTACATAATAATGCACTTAAAGAATAATATTTTTGTTTAAAAAATATTCTTTCCCAATATTACTATTTTGAATTCAATAAATGTACTTTTTCATTAATGTATTTATTTTAAAATAAATTTACTACTGTATAAAGTGCAAAATTATGAAATTATTTTTTTTAATTTTATATTTTGTAATTAAAATATTAATTTAATTCTAGAGACTGTCAGTATTGAAATCTTAATATAAAATGTAAGAAATAATAAACTAAGTTTGCGAGATCCCAGTAAAAGCATTTCTTTTTAAAAAATGCCCGCGCACTAATGTAAACAACATTGGGCGCTTTAAAAGTCGGAATATCATAAGATGCTGTTGCACTTTTAATTTCACGTGCAAAAAAATAAATTTAATAAAAAACTAAATAAACTAAAAAAAATTTTTTTGGAGTCATTTCTCGTTACCATTTGAGAATCTCAAATGCGAGGTATGAAGCTTTCGTGCAATGCGACTTTTTTATTTTATTTTTTGACCATTTTATCCCTTGTCGTTTTTGTTGAAATATTTTTATTTCTATTTTTAATCATGCGTAATCAAATACGCCTACTTTCAAATTCTTCCCATTATTCATTGCACTTTGTAAATTTTTGCTATTTTTATGTTGAAACCCTCCCATATTTCCCTATATTTAAACATAAGGATTTTAGAGTATATTCAGAGTTTATTTTGTAAATTCTCAGAATTAAGAGTTTTTTGGATTCTCTCTGAGTTAAGAGTTATCTTTGTGTAAAGATTCACTTGAGCTTTTCTAATTGTAATAGATTCTGTTTAATAAAAGTTGTGTAACTTTTGATTTGTTTTACAATTTAAAATAAAGAATTGAACTTAAAACTTAATGAGTTTGATTTAAGTTTTCTAAGTTTTGAGTTCTTTGACTAAGAGTTTATTGTGTTTCTATTTGAATTAAATTTGAGTTTTCTAAGATTTATAGAATTTTATTTATAAAGTTTGGAGTGTATAAAAAGATTTAAATAAAGTATATTATTTGTGATAATTTTTTAAATAGGATTTAAGTTAAGATTTAACTTCAAACTTCTTTTTAAATATTGTATAATATTTTAATTGTTGAATGAATCTGATTTTTAAATAAATTGATTTTGATAGAAAAGAAAAAAGTAAAAAGAATAAAAATAGAAAATATTGTTTATTTATTGGAATAGACTAAAGAACTTAATAAAAAATTTAAAGAAAATATTAAAAATTTATTTATTTTTTACGTTGTCCAGCAAAAACATTAATTTGAAATTTGAATTTGTAAAAAAAATATATGTACTGTTGTTAAGTTCAATATTTCTACCTTAAATGTCGTAATTAGAGGACCAAGTTAGGAGGGCCTGTTTGTAAATTTTTATTTTGTCATGATTGAGACTTTTTTACTTTAAGCTTTAAGCTACTTTTCCTATATTAAGCTAAATTACGTAAGAGAAATTACCTTCTTTCTCAATTAACTTCATCCTTCAGACCTTTTCCAAAACACTAAAATAGAGCTATCCACTCAAACATAAATCAAAAAATTGAGCTTTGTCTCAAAAATTGTCTCAAAAACTCTAAAAAACTTAAAAATTCAAATAAAAATATTTATTCTGTGTCAGTTCGTAAATTTCTGGTCTGCAAATTCTAGTTCGCATAAATGCATTTACATTATTGATCAGACCGTACAGTACTACGGTATTTATCGGTATTCCATATCGGTCCACGGAATACTAACTAATCGGTATTTAACGGTATCGTTATTTTTTGGCATTCCATACCGTTCAACGACACGTAATAACTGAAATTATGATAATACGATAGCCCCATGCGGCGCCCTTTCTTAAAATACATTCCACGTAGTCCCTGTTAATCACTCTATGTTGATCTCTGAACAATTTATCACTTTAACTGTGAAAACATTAAATTGGGTTTTCTGTTAGGTAACCAAAACTCCAGTGACACATATTCCGTTATTACTTGACGACCAAAATTTTGCTGGTTACTAAAATTCCGTAAAATTGACAAAAATATTCAGAAAATTCTTGTTCGCAAGAATTCCAATGAACAAAATTGCTTAAGCCTTAGAAATAAATAGCCATAAGTTCTACAACATTCATATTTGAATTCTAATTTTAGTTTTACTAAAGCGATATAAAACATTGAGAATTTTAATGTTTTGACGCCCATCTTTAGTTAATCAATTATTTTGAAATTTTTCTTGTGACTGTAAATTTGAAATAGCATGTGTTTTCATGAATTAGACAATTAGACAAATATATATTGGGTCTGTTTAATCAATTATTGTATATTTCTCTAGCTGTGTAGGATATGTCAACGAATGCTATTTGTCTTTCTTTATCTATGGCAAATAGACAGGCCAAATTCTTTTAAAGGCCATTAAGGCAAAACCAACATAATGACACATCAACACTCATTATATAGTTTTTTAATGTTTGACATGTTTTACTTAGGTCTTTAAATGTCTGAAATATCAAGTTAATAAGATAGCTTTAAAAATTTTAAAAATCTAAATACATATAATAGAATAGGGATGTATAAATAAATGAAAAAATGACAAATATTGTTGAAGTAGACGATACTAAACAAGTATTGGTGACACACTCACCTTTCTAGTACCGCAGGCGAAAATTTTGAAAATAAAAATTTTAGATTCGGATATCCGAAGGTTCATAAATATCCGTCAACTTTAATTTATGTGTTTAATTTTTTTATTATGGGTGTCTTTTTTATTACTTGTTTATACAAAAAATGTTAGAAAAGGATTTTTTGGCAAAAACAAAGTTTATATGAAGTACTGTGTAATGTACTTATCTCACCCCTTCATGTGGAACTGCTCTCAGAAAACTTCCAAGAAAATCTCCTTATAAGAAATACAATTATGGCTAAAAATCTTTATTTGTTAATCAACAAGGGCTTGCTACCGACTACGCGGACTTGCTTACTATAGACGCGGGCTTGCGTAGAAATTTTATTAGCCTCTTAGACGCTAAAGCAAGCAAGCTACCGGCTACGCGGACTTGCTTACTATAGACGCGGGCTTGCTTAGACACTAAAGGGGGGGGGGGCACTTGACTCGACATCAGTGACTGTCGAGTCAAATTTATATATTGAATTGCCTATTACCCATTATCTTTTCTGTCGCATAGCTCGGGCAATTTTAAGTCGACGTATAATAAGGGAAAGAAGTCAATAGACGCTGGCTTGCTTGCAACGAGAGCTTTATAAGAGAGCCCGTCAACGACTCATACATTCACTTCATCCTTCATTTTCCTTAATTACATCCCTTCATATATCTTCCCTCGTCAAATTCACTACATGATATACACTTGGGGCTAAGTAAACATCGTTTATGAAGGATTTAATAAACATAATTAAGAAATAATTGTTTTTACAAAAAGCATGTCTTGTAAATCGGATAGACATCCTTTGTATCACTTGATGCAAAGGGTGTTTTGTTGAAATAAAATTCACTCAAGCTTTTAACTTTCTTCTAGAGGATATTCTTAATATTAAATTTTATTATTAAAATTTTTGGTTAAATTCCCAATACCAAAACAACATTTGTTTTTAAAATCTCGAAAATTTTTTTTTAATTTTTAAGGAATGAAGTTACCCA